GATGCTGGCGTGACCACAGTGCACACGCCTAATGTTGCTCACAGTGGTCCAAGTGTCCGCTCAGGGAGTTTGTGTGTTCGCTCAGACACATAAAAAATTAGCGGGAGCATTGGTTACCACCATCCCTACCTGCCATATTTGTCCCACCTGTAACTTTGTCTTGTTCCCCAACATGAAATTAAGTTCAAAAGTTTCAAAATTCTGGAAAAGATCTTTAATGTAATGAAAGTTATCACAACAGGACTTCCACAGATCCAGAAATGGAAGCTTCAGTGGAAGTGTTGCAGTATTGCCCAAGCTGACAACTTAAAATGGGAGCTTTATACTCCATATCTTTATGCTTAGAATAGCTTTGCATTATTCACAGTCCAAAATAATCCTTATTTACCCTACACTGGGTCTTGATGCAGCTCCACGTAGCGCCTCTACTTTTAAACAACTTTCTTCCTATTGGCTGTCCCTTGTAAACAGAATGACCAAATAGCAGGTAGGTGGGGCTTCTGCGCTCACGGCCAGAACTGTGTGCCTGCAATGGCCATACTTAGTATCTCTGCTCTCACTGACATCATGCAGAGCCAATAGCAGAAGAGCATCTTTTTTATGTATATTTAAAAAGCTGCAAAGAGAGTGAGCTTAGGTACACTTAACCCTGTGATAAATCTAGCCAAGTTAAGAGACTTAACCTGTTCCAGCACTGTAATACAGTATTGGCTATTAAATAACCTGGTGGAGTGTCTGCTATTGGAGTAATATAGACCCTGCTTGTGCACTGAGTGGTCACATTATGAGTTTGATTTAACACAGTATCCCTGTGTGTCACTGAATACACCCACTAGGCCACCTTGGCTTGTGTGTCAGACCACTGATGGCAGTGATGAGGGGTGGTGAGCATTCACAGTCACTGCTTTGTTCAGTACTTTTCCACTGACTGAGACACGTGTATTTGTTTGTAAGCCTTGTGTGTCTGCCTGGGGGAAAAAAGACAGGAACCGTTGCTGTATCTTATCAGCCAACCAGAAGAAAAAAGACATAAAAAAAACTGAGTAGGCTTTAATGAAGAATTGAGGAAGAATGTAATTAGAGGATTACACAGTCATACAGGACTTTACCAGAGCAAATCTG